GTGGTAAGAAATAAAAGAAAATACATAGAGGCGGAGAACTGAGATAGAAAAAAGGATAGAATTAAAGAAGGACAGAACTTGAAACAGACGGACAGGAAAAATTTGGAGGTAAAGAGACATAACAGCAAAGCCACAGAAGAAGGAAGACAAACAAAGGTATCTTGTTTTATAATTTAGACGACGGACAATTTAACATATTATAAAGCACCGTCGTCAGAAACCTTCAGACTTTGATTGAAGTGGCTTAGAACAGAGCCCAGCAGCGGGATATTATGAACACAGTGATGGACATTGAGGTTCTGTAAAACGAGATTATATCTGAGAACAGCTGAGATCAAGTTTTTAAGTTCAGAGATTGTACCGTGGCCCCCTATGTCGTGTTGAACTCGTGGACACCAGTCCTCCCGGATGTGCATCTGTCTCTCTGCCCTCATGTTGTATTTCTAGAACCATTTGACTGATATCAGCAACATTTTGTGCTGGTGAATGTAAAATTATTCCGTAAGTTCAAGTTTTGGTTGAAACTCGATGATACAACCTATAGTGCTGTTCCTACAGACGGAATTGCAGCAACTCTTTTGATGACGTTTTATTAGACACACGTGCAATTGCACGTGCGCACTTCAGTCATGAATGGACTGCCCGTTCCGATAAGGTGGATTGGACGTAGAGGACTCTCGGCATGGCCGGCGAACTCTGCGTGGGGATACAGCAAGAATCTTGTGTACATCACAGACGTCGAGATGGAGTACCAGTCGCGGCGTATGTGGGACAGCATGGACGTTGGGCGTCCCTTGCGAGTTGTGCAGAGAACTGTATAACGGCTTATGCTGGTCCTTTCGAATCCAACAGATACGAAGGTAACACAAACCAATTCCGTTTGTTTCTCATCTCGAGTATTTCAAGTGGGGCAAATTTTGAAACCGATTATCTCCGAAACGAAGACTTTCTGTCAAAACTGCATGCAACTTTGAACTCCAAAATATGCCTATAATACACTCTGTAGTTTATAGTACCCCGGAAATGGTTGTGGTAGGAAATCTAGGGGTACGCGATAACTTTACCCTAATGCAGTTGCCTTCTGTTCATGTCAAGATACGCGGAATATTAATCACTGGATCTGAAGTACTCCCCAGTGGTTATGAGGGTGGAATGGCGACCACGTTCTTGCTGCTTGTTGTTTACACGGGTCATGATTGATTACATCCAGGAAGTCATGAGGGTTCCAGGGGACAGAGAGCCACGAAATTTATTCAAATGTATAATTTATTCCATACATGGTGAGGAATTTTGCATAATATAAGAACAGAGTACTTCCATTTCAGTAATAAGGTTGTGAAAATTTGTGTTGCTAAAAGGTGGGGGATTTCTTGAATCACTGAGCTACTTAGAGTTTATTAATAAGGTCCCTGCTCCATACAGTTACTGTTGTTAGTTCGTAATGAAATTAAAATTACTTCATATGCCTTTCTGGTTAATCTTACATGTGAATATCCATTATTTTTGACTGTGACGTCTCTTAAACTCTTTAAAGATGAAGGTCACCTAAATAATATTTAATAATTCAGTCCGTAGCTCGAAGAAAGTACCACACTTCACCATTATCGCTGTTTTAAGTGACAGTTATAAGAGACACATAATAAAAATGCAGAATTGTTGATTGTTAGAGCGGGTGGAGCATACAGTTACAGCTGAGCTTTAAATTATTAATTTAAACACAGGGAAATTAATTATATGGTGAATAAATACGCTTAGACGTGCTGGAAATAATACCATTTGTGGAATATTATTTGTGTGAGTCAATCAGGACACGAACATCGGAAAATCCATTGCTGTTTCACCCAGCAGCTGAGGTAGATAATTAGGCAGGCAGTCGCGTGACCCTTGTGTAAGCCTACGAGAGACGATCCAGGTGGGCAGCTGTGTCGGTATAACGGTGTGTCGTCTGGCACGTGTCTTCATTGTTATTGTTCAGTACACACAAAATCCTTCATAATAATGAGTATCGAGAAAGACAGCTCTTTATACTTTCCTCATTAGTATAATGTTATCAGAATTACCAAAGAAGAACTCTAGCAGTATGTCAAATTGTTTTCTTGAACGTCGTCCATCGTCGAAATTCTTAATACAATCACAATGTTTCGGAAGCTGAATTCTGCTTCCTCCTTCAGGTAAAAACGGAAGGGGACAGAAACCATATGTTAAATATTGTAATATAAATGTCTCTGGAATATTTATATGGCATTGATGGAAAAATTTAAAGGACAATAGACGTCATTTCTTCTCAGAACTTCTCATTTTCAGTATAATACGTAATCTACAAGTGATTACGCGGTACCGGTTCACAAAAAGCAACATAACCTAAAGAGATCTTTTCAGTTGCTAGGAACTCCATGTGTCCACGTCATGGTCTGTGCCCGCTAACGTGTTTTTTTATTCAATTGTCCCGAACGCCAATTGTTTCCTGTAGCATACCTCACAGACAGAAAAGCCCATGGGAGTTCATTGTGTGCATGGAATACTACCGCAACAAGGGAAAGATTTCTTCAGAAAAGCTTTCATAACACTGCTTACAAAGTTGTATTAGGAATGTTTTATAGCAATTGTATTAGTTTCAGCTACGTAAAATGTAAAAGTAAAAAAAAAAACTGTCCTACTGTACACCATGTAGGCGCTTGGGGGGGGGGGATGATTAACGTCACGCCTCGGCCGCGCTTTACCCCCAGGAAAGGATCCCGGTACCCATTGGATAGGAGGCTGGGTGGGCCCCAGAGCCTGTTTGGATGCAGAGGCTAGAGGAAAAATCCTCTGCTCCCGTTGGGGATCGAACCCCGGTCGTCCAGTCCGTAGTCAGTCACTATACTGACTGAGAATCTAGAAAGTGATATAACCCACAGTGGTATATTTCGATAAGAAATTGCCTACAGTCTGTTTATAGTAATTTCATAATTTAGTTTTCTTTAGCTAAAATTCACAAGTAACTTGTGAAACTTTCAGATACTTAATTGGTAAGATCCTTCGACAGGGGAAATTGGCCAACATTTCAGAGCTGCTTACTGTCTTCATCATTAGGACGATTTGCGAGACAACAAGGCGCAACACCCCATTGTCTTCATACTCGCTGCCGTGAGAACCTGAAATCTTACAGCTTCATTTCAGTTCATATTTTGACCGTCTGCTGTTCATAACCTAACGTGATTGGTTAGTCTAATAATCGTCAACTTCTACGGAAAGGACTTGTGGCCTTTTTACAACTCAGAATTACTTATCGAATTACAAATTAGTTTAGGTATTTGACAGAACTCCCCGATCGGGTGATCATCCTGTCGCAAGGCCTCTGCCTACACACGACAGCACAACGTAAAAAGGCGTGGATAAACATCCATGTCTTGAGTGGGATTCGAATCCGCGGCCAAGACCCACGCCCTAGACCGCGCTGTTACTGAGATCGATTAATGAAAATATTTATAAAATTATATTAACTGACTGTGGAACAGATCTTATGGGGTCGTTCAGTTAGCCAAGAAAATCCCACCCGCCTTTTATGGAACTCGGAAGTTGATAACCGTGTTCAACAAGGTTGAGTCTTTCACCTTGTCATTTGAAGTCTTCGAGTCCAGACACTAAAACAAACTGTGCTTTGTACCAAAGAATTTGATACGTTCACGAAGCAACTACCACGCGTCTTCTGAATGCATCAGTTACTCCCATCATAACCCGCATCACAAAACGTGTTTTTAGAAGACCCAGTACTACCTAAACGAGTTTCAGTTATATAAAAAATTTCAACGGTCTTAGGGGTTAAGAACTGAGCAAGGTCTAGTCTTTTATTCGGTAAGTTTTCAATAAGAAAGTCAGGAGGGTATGAGTGCTGCCATGTGCAGTACCTTCACGCAAGAAGTTGACCTAAGGAGGCAGGGTAAGACACGCCCAGCCCTTTTTAAACGCGTTGCCTTAGGCGTCGTAGTGGTACGATTATTTATTTCTCCGACCCTTTTGCATCAGGCCTCCAGACCTCCTCAACTCCACATTAAAAATTAAATATGTGTATAATTGTAAGATTTGACGATTTCACAACGGTGAGTTTGAAGATATCTGTCTTCTGGGTTGATGCGCTGTGTAGTCTAGTAGATGAATCGCCCTGATGACGGAGGCAGTATGACCTCTGAAACGTTCGTTAACATCGACCAGACTACACAGTACAACAACCCAGAAGACAGAAATCTTCATCGCCCTGATGACGGAGGCAGTATGACCTCTGAAACGTTCGTTAACATCGACCAGACTACACAGTACAACAACCCAGAAGACAGAAATCTTCATCGCCCTGATGACGGAGGCAGTATGACCTCTGAAACGTTGGTTAACATCGACCAGACTACACAGCGCAACAACCCAGAAGACGGAAATCTTCATGTGTATAGTTGTTCCCTACCAAGTCACGGTGGCGTATAGGGGAGTGGAGGTACATTAAAACAAATTGTTTATCTCGTAACTATATCGAATTAAGTGGTCAGTTTCACGCCTCGGCCGCTTTATTACCTAGCGAAAGACCACTGCCCAGTAGGTATTTAATAGGAAGCTATGTATGTCACAGAACTAGTCTAGACGTGGCGAATGGAGACAAATGTTTTGTTAATAGAATGGGTAATAAACAATGAATTGTTCCTGCATCACGTAAATTCTTCCGCCATGCTTTAGATTTTTCTCTTGGAGTTTTCACCTGTGGTTGTTAATACGTCAGTGACTTAACAAGGATGCTCTTCGAGTGTTATGCTCTGTTGAATGAAGTAATACATTCACTAGGCTCAGATTTCTCCGTCTGGTTGAAGCAACAGGCGGACACTTTCTCACATTGTTCTCAGATAATTAAGTATATTCAAAGTTTCACTGAAATGTATTCATTTTACTTTCGTCTTTACAAAAGCCATGCAACAGAATCCTTCTTTGTGGTGCTGGTAATCGCTCAGCTAGTCAAAAAGTTCTCTGCCTTCTATAGAACCTAAAATGTTGTTGCTATGATCACAATATTTCGCTAGAAGTCCCCATTATGAGCCACATTAATCCATTTCACACCCTCCCAACTCGTAGTTTTTCACATTCTTTACGATAGTTGCCTACCATCTGCGCCTAGGTCTTCCAGGTAGTCTCTTCCTTCACACTTTCCAATCGCAACTTTGCATGCATTCCTCAATCGTCCCATGTATGCTACATGTCCCATTCTTATCACTCTTCTTGAGGCCTGTTTGGTGAATATTAGCAATTATGAAACTCCTTATTATGACATTTTCTCTATTGTCATAGTATTCCCTCTTCCGTACAAATATTCTTCTCAGCACCTTTTTCTCAGAAACTTTCAATTTATATTTGTGACTTGCAGTGAAAGATCAAGTTTCACTTCGAGTATAAGAGATAAAATTACAGTTCTGTGTGTTTTAACATAGTATTTAGATTTGTTATGCTTTTACTCATGTGAGACTGTAGCTACAGAATTTTAAACTGAGGTTTTATCTCCAAACGCAGTTAACAACAGTCTTCCCATGTTTCACAAAGAAACTGGCTCATTTACAACATGAATTCGGAGTTGCAGGCCCATACATCGTCAAATGGCGTTTGCTTCACGACAGTTTGTTGCATTTAAGTTAATATTTTTATTTGAAGCAATCTGACGTTTCATCACTCATTACCCGGAAGTTCCTATGATTCACGTAATAAGGGATTTAAGTTCCAACGGAAATGTAGCCGTGCCCATAACCGGAACAGAATTAAAATGGCAGGCGAGCAGCACAGACAAACTTTCCGGCACGGTACAGACATTACGTCATTGTCAACATCTGCTGACTGAATGGCTATTTCCCAG